TTTAATACTCCCATGACATGTGATTTATTAAAATTTTTAAAGTTATAATGATTTTTCGATGTAGATCAAGTTCAGTCGAAGCTTTTTAACTATTTGTATTGACAAAACTTTATGTAGGTACACTTTAAGCTGGATAAGAAAAACTACCATTTTTAAATACCATATTATACAGTCTTTTAAACAATCCAAAATACTTATTTATTTTGGTCAAAATAAATTTTTCTAACCTTAAAATTACAAAATTAGATGATATTTTTGTTATAATTTATTAACCTACCTTTAAAACAGATATTCTTATTCCATAATAGAGAAGCTAGATTTTTTTAAATAAATGCTGTTAAGTTAAACTTATTTTATGGAGAAAACCACATATTTGGACCAAATGCACCAAAATATTTCTTATTTGGCACCATACACTTTGGAATTTCATTAAATGCAGTATTTATATTGCAAAAATTGTCCCCTGGGTCACAAATTCACAAACATATTAAAAAAACTTGTATTAATCCCGGCGCATTCGCCATTTTTGAAAAACGTAATTTTTTATTATTTCTTAGGAATCACAAAATGTTATAAATTCTTAGACCCTCATTTAATAATCACCATACAAACATGCTAATTTTCGATAAAAATCACTTTTGACCTGTTTTCTTTGACTCATGTTAACTAACACTTAACTCTTAAAACTTTATCAACCATTTTGAAATAATTGAACATGCAAAGTTATAAAAAATAATCTGACGAATTCTTTTGTTAACCAACCAAATATTTTCATTTGCAAACGTTGGTTCTAAAAAGGTTCGGTGTGTTTATTAAGTACTGTTAAACTTATATTTAAACAATGAACACCGCATTTATTTAATTCATACTAAATTAATTTAATATGACGAACGTCTTTGCTTCTGATGTGACTAAAAATTTAAATGCGACGCTAAATATTGTTATTTTTAAAATATTGTGTTGTTATCGGGCAGTAATGTTAGATTTTAAAATATTTGTCCTAGGTACCCACTAAAAATTAAATTTCTTCTGGAATTAAATCAATCAAATTAATTAATTTGATAAAAATACCTCACGCAAGCTTCTAAAAAAAACCCTATAGTAATTAACCTTATTTAATATTATTTTTAACCACTGGTTACTAAAATAGATTTTCATGTTTATGTCTGTTTAAGGCAGGTTAATTGCCTTTTCTTTTATTTGTGGTATAATTAAACCCAGCCTTGTTATATTTTTGGATTTCAGATTAGACGTTTTTCTCATTATAAGTAAATAAAATGTGAATATTTTCTCATTTTTTATTTTAATTGAATACAATTTAGGTTGTGAACCTTTTTTATTTTTTTTTTAAATTTTTTAATTAAAATTTTAATGCATGTTTTAAAAATTTGAATTTATTATTAAAAATTTATGTGATTTTTTTTCACGATAGTCCTAAATCAATCACAAATAAATTTGGCAACGCCGCGTCGTCCAACTTTTTAAAACTTTAAAATGTACATACAAGTTGACAAATTAGTTAACTTACCTATTTTATAAAGGATATTTACTCTCTAAAAATGAATTAGTCAAAAATGACTAGGTAATTGTCATAGCGAAAAAGCAGCCACTAATAATTATCGTCAATAGCAATTTGTATCTCGAACATTCCATGTAAAATTGTCTCCTGAATCCGAAAATGTCGGTTATGAAATTTTTAGTTTAGTTTTTAGAGCACGGAGAACGTTTTCACCAGCAAATGAAGGCTATGGAGCGGCGGTATCACGGCTTCTGGGATGCAGCCATGATGGGTGATTACATTTGGCCCCTCATACGAGTAACTGAATACGAAAGCAAGAAAAAACAAAGAACGAGCCAGAATTTTTTTAAACCTATGCTTATTAAAACAAAATTAAACTTTCAATATCTTCAATGTTCAATATTTATTGTTTAATATTCAATATATAATTTAATTTCAATATTTAATGTTTAAAATAAAAATCAATGTTCAATATGAAATTTTATATAATTCAATAAAATGAAGAGAAAACGTACAAAAGAATTGGCTGTTAAATGTTGGGGATACCATGGTATGAGTGAAAAAGCAGCCACTAATAACTGTAGTAACTAGTCATTTTGACTAATTAATTTTTAGAGAGTAAAGGGTATAATAATAATAAAAAATATTATTTAATACATTTATTTTTGATCAGTCATAATATCAACAGTGTTACATATATGGGCCTTACATAATATGTTGAACCAATAACAAAAACGAAAACGAAAAAAGTATATGAATGAGCTAGAATCTATAATACATATCAAAATATAGTATGTTTATATACATTTGGTACAAGGATATGTACATATTAAATTTTAAAATAAAATATTTCATGTGAATGAAATTCACAAAAAATAGAGCAATATATACAGTGCGGCTCCTGATTATGTTGCCAATAAAATAATTGAATCTTATGTACGGGGTGCTCAGAAATTAGGAAATTATGAAAATGCTCATTTAAATACATTTTCTTAATTTCTTAGCACTCTGTACATTTGATTCATTTTTTTTTACGAAGACATTTTTTTTTGTAAATCGCATATTCAAGTTTTTCCTATAGGCAAACCGTCCGGGGACACACTGTATAAAGAGAAGTGTAAAAAAAATCGTTCCATTACATCAATTTTTTATGGGTTTCAGCAAAACTGATATGTTGGGAAAATTGACATTTTAAAGTGGATGGAACTTGTGTTTTTGGAAAAAACAGCAATTGTGAGCTTTTTTATAAAAATGGCCAAGATAAATATTTTTTAAATAAATAAAATATATATACTCTGTCCATATGCTGTCATTTCAACAATAATTTGATTTTTTGTAAGAAAATATATTATTGAAAAATATGACAACATTCTTGTTTTTTCGGACGGTTCCCGTATAATTTTGTGCAAAAATATTTAATTTAATTTATATTGTCTATTTATTATCTATTGTCTTTATTTTTATTTAACTGAGCCATTTTTATATAAATTGATTTATTTTTAAAAATAGGTTTAGCAAGTATTCACAAAATTAAAAAAAAATGGAAATAAATCCAATTTATTCAAGGTGTTAAAATAGGGTTTGGGCGGTTAGTTTGTTAATGTAAACATGCTTTTACCCTTTTTGAACACCCTGTATAATAAAAATGTCTTTTCGATAACATAGTTTTAAACACTTATACTTTTAATACAGTATAAAAAATAAGTATTCAATTTATACTGTTTATAATGTAATATTTAGCAATCTCATCTGATCTACTAAAGCGGAGTTTTTAAATCTAATAGATGATTAAAACTATGATTATTAATTGATAATTTTACATCGACATCGACTTAAAAACTTTGGTAACCAAACGTAACCACTAATTTTTTGCTATCTAACATGGACTTTCATGAATTCGGGAAAATTCACAAAGAGCTGAACGAAAATTTTAAATGTTAAGCACAGTCCTTATTTTCTCGTATCACAGGTTATGTTCGCCATGTGAGAAAAATAAAATAGGCAACTTTATACCATAACAAGCTAGTTTCATATAATATACAGGGTGTGTGGATTAAAAATACCCTCTTTTAGTGTTTTAAATAACAATTGATTTTCCTAAAGTAGGGCATTTTTAATTTGGTACCCCCTTTAAGTGTAAAGATAAATTTTGTACACTATTATAGATTATCATTGACATACATATTTAACGCTTATTTATCGTATGTAGGCAACTTGTTTAATACTTTAATAAAATTAAAAATGTTAACTTTGTTAATTATTTTATATTTAGTTCATACGACTATTCTATCTACACATATATAATAGATAACTTTATGGTGATAAGATTTTCAACAATTTTGTTTAAGGCAGTGTTGCCAACATTGTTGAACACTTTAACAGCAAAAAATTACCAGGGTTTTAGTATAGTAGAATTTTAAAGCTAGATAAATAAGTTTTTAAGATTTAAAAACCTTAAAGGTACGCCCAGACTTTCTAAACGTTTTTAAATTTTGTTGCAATCAGAGGTAGATAAGGTTATTTATTCTAAAAATGCAAAAAACAAAAATAATTCTTTTTAAGTAAGCTATTTTAATGTTTACTATAAAAAAGGGCAACACTGTTCAATGCAAAGTTGCCAGCTCGTTTTTTTGCATCATTATTTCCAAAAAAATCATAAAAAAATTGAATAATTTCAAAAACTTAGATTGAAAGTTTTAATTGACTAGTGGAGCAGACCTGAGCTACATTTCATATTCACCTGATTAGTGCAACTTGTGAGGCAAATTCTTTGGTAATTTGCGCCTGCATAAGGTATTTTGCTTTAATTTTACAAGGGAAACAAAAAAACATTTTGACAAAAATGTATTTTTTACTTCGGCCCTTGTAAAATTTATGCAATGACTATCCCTATTCCTATCTACAAAACGTTACGATATTATCATTATTAATCCCTTGTTTGGGGTATAATTAAAAAAAAACACTTATAACTTTATTAAAGTATTATAGTCGCCATATTAAAGCTATAGATAATTCGCGTGTAGAGAAAAATTTAAGATGAGAAACACTATATTTATATTTTTATGTCCAATGATATATTTCTTATACTGTTCTCCAAACTACCATACCGTATTTTATTTATCTATAGATATTCGACAAGTGAAATAAACTAATCAGTCTTACACTCCAAAATTCAATCTCCTAGAAGCAATTATTTCACTTGTAGAGTAGTTTATGTGATTTAAAATGTTTTTACAAAAAGGACAAGCCAAAATTAAGTGTAGACGTAAGCTTTGATTGGTTTTTGGAAGGAATAAAACAAAAATTAACCTATGATTAAGCTAACCCCGCTATCCGAATTAATTTATTTTAAGTTTTTACAGCGTAAATCTATTTAATAGAACCTCAATTTCTTTCTTTAACCCCTAATTGAAACAACTATTTGGTTGGGACGTCAAGTTGTTAAGGAGTGAAATTCTTGCTCTATTAATTATAATTATAATCTAATGAGTAAAGTTAATACTTGGTAAGATCAGTCTTAGTAACAAACTCTCAGGTCTCATCCTTTCCCATAGAAGTAGCGCTTTTTTTGACAAACTCTTTCAATAACACGAGTTTCTTTTTTATGAGCCAAATCAATTAACACACTTACATAGGGATTAGTGGAAGGGTGTGAGACTACTAATTTAAAATTTTTGGTAATATTTATATACATTGACTTACTGTGCCTTCTTAAGCACCGTGAGCTGTTTTATTAGACTGTCTTCGCTGGAGATGATACGTTTTTTCATAGTGGGACGTAACTGTTGGTTGGATTGTTGTTTCTGAAATAGAAAAAACGTATTGTAGAACAAAATCACCGTCAATTATTGGTGTTTATTGTGGTTTAGGAAACTTAAAAGCTTTCAAAATTTAATCACGTTCGGGAAATACATGGGGAAGCTCTGCCCAAAACCCTTCATTCATAACCACTGCAGTGCGATTTATATTTAGCCCACGCTTTTGGCAAAATGCCACTTCTCCAGGCTCCAACATTGGGGTAGGCACGCCCCCCCTTCCCCCCTTTATCGCCCGCTACCTCCATACTTTAGGATGACGTCAATTGCTCCACTTTAGATAATGGACGGGACGCGGTCCCAGTGATGTAAGTTTTCATTTTTTATTGTTGTGTTTTTGACGTCATTTATCGCTGATATAAACCTATTTGCTCTTGTATTTGCGTCAGAGACATCGATTTTCTATTAACTACGATTTTATTGTTTTCCAACGAAACGTGAATGATTGACGGGAATTTAATCATTGCAATAAAGGATTTTATGTAATTGATTAGGTTTTTTTCAAATTAACGCAAGAGTTTTAGCAACCAAAGTGACAATGAAAAGACCTGTAGCTACTTAACTTAATCGGTATTCACCTGTTGTCAAAACGTTGTGATTAAAATCACTAAAGGCATCTACAACTACAACCTTCAAACCAACATTCATTGACTAAAGCATTTTTGAATTTTATAAAACAACATTATAATTTAATATACATACAAGAATTACATGTACGTAATACTTACATTTTCCAAGCTTTTCTCCATCTCCAACATCTTCTTGATGGTATCGTAGACAGAAGGTGACCTCTTCTTCTTGTCGTCACTTTTGGACATCATCTCCAACACCTGGTTACTGAACGGGTTTCTTACGGGTGTTGCTGGACGCATCATGACGATTTCTTTCTGACCTTCGCCTTTGGACGTACCTTCCACTATGGGTTGTTCCGTCGGTGTTACTTTAAATATCATTTTGCGTTCATTATGCTTGACTTCCTTTTGTTGGTTCTGTTGGTTGACGTTTCCTCGTTTGGCTTCGGTGTTGAAGAGGTTTGCCACTACTTTTTGGCTGGGCTTCTTGTTGTACCAATGAGGTAAATATTCATTGGTTTGCTTGGGTATTTGTTGGTTTTTGTTCTGATTTCTAGCCAACTCTTTTAAATCGTCCACGTCTTTATCTTCATCACTGTAGTAAGGTTCATCATACTGCTGTAAATCGTAGTCATAACCATCGTAACCTTGTGGTTTTTGTTGTTTTGCCCTCTCTTTATCATTGTACATTTGGGTGAGGATCAAGTTTTGCAGAAAGGCGACTCGGGTATCATCTGTATCATCTCGTTCGTGCTCGTAATCCTTTTGGTACATCACTTCATGGCCGATGGGTTGGGAATCCTCTCGCTCTTCTCGTTCAGTTTCCGCCAGCAATTCTTCTTGCAAGGTGGCATATGGATCGTCATAGTAATAATTGTAGTGGGACAAAGGTCTTTCCTGATAGTAGTAAGGCATAACAGCTTGATATACCTCATACTTTGAAGTTTTTGGGTAGTAAATCGGCAATCCATCCGGAGTGTAGTATTCATCATAGTTGCCGGTGGATGGGTATACCTCAGGGTAGTTAGTCGGGTGCCTCGTGGAGCGCACCATGGGGTAATAAGGAGTCATACGGTACGACTGACCGTACCTCTTGGTACCATAAATCGGCACGGCAAAAGTACTCTGCATGCACAGTGTAATGATCACTTGTAAGATGGGTAGAATTCGTAACGCCATCTGGAATTAAAGAATATTCTATTTAGCCAAGGTTCAACAAGTTGAAAAAATCGTTCTTAAAATAGACTGGGTTTTATTACGCCAATCAATATAAAATTCCGTTAAATGACCTATTTACAACCAGTTGCTTCCACTGAAAGAACTGTATTAAATTTACTGACTTGGAAGCATACGGTCGGCTTGACTAATGAAGAGGGTGTGATAAAGAAGATATTTTAAGTACAGAGATCTGATTTAAAATATTGCTAAATTATTATATTTATTATAGATAAAATACAATAATTATGTTTAAACAACTTCTGATACTTTACATTAATAAGATTGCGAACCATATGTGTCTTAAAACTTATTATGAAAAAATATTAAATAATTAATTAGTAACTTACCATTTTAAAAGTGCACTATTTAGCAACTTTTTTTAAAACTCAATTTCAATTTTCACCACCACTTTTTCCTTATCTCACTGTAGTCCACTGTAGTCCACGCGAAAATGTGGTTCTCCTCAGAATTTACCCCTATTTATAAGAGTCGCCTCCCCTCACGGGGCACCCACACGTTATCAATGAAACCAGCAAGCGGTGGGAATGATTGCGACACGCGGTTTTCATTGGTCGCATCAGCAACAAGCTGCTCCGGCATTGGTCCGTTGTGTTTTTCCTCTATTGATCCGACGGACGAATTTTCCGAGATGTGTATAGTCCGTTTCGTGTGGAGTGAATGGGATGATGGAAAGTACAGGGTCGACTTTAAAAGTTTAGAAATAAATTGTGCACCTACTTATATTTCAAGATTTTAAACTCGGCGCATTCGCCATTTTTTGCAAAATATAAATTTATATTTTGTGACCAGCAAAAGTATGGACAAATTTATTGAAAAATTCAGCTTTTTTACTCCTGAAATAAAATAGGAAATAACAAATCCAAGGCCAGAGTAACTCAAAATAAAGACAATACAAAATATTAAAACTTAAGATTAATGTAATTTAGTGTATATGATGAACGCGACAGCTTGAGATTAGAACTCAGTGTATGCGCGATCCCAAGATATTAAACCCAAACAATGAAATAGTAATACAATAAAACTTATAACCAAAAATCACTCGACATTTACAAATAATAAAATAATTAGGATATAAACCAGTGGCGCCCTCATTTAAAGGCGAAGAAATTTTTTTAAACCCAACTTAAAATAACTGACGTCGCAGTTCACAACCTATACTTAAAACTAAGTAAAAAACTTAGACTGTGGTGGGGAAGGAATCCTCTACTTTGTCAATAAAATATATTTTATTGTAAAAATTACGTTTATTTTAAATAAACCTCATTTTTGTCTAATTGTTCAGCAAGAACCACGGAAGGTCAACAATATCGCTACAATTTCTCACCGTAATATCCATAATGACTAAATTCACATAAATCAACAAGTTCAATTAACTAAACCTACAGAATAAACCACTTACAAAAGAATCATAAAATAGACAAACTCATAGAAAAAGAATAAACAAAATATTGCGTAAATAACCACAGATTTGTTCTTTAAACAGTTCAGAATTTTATAACCAAAACAAACCTAAAGAAGGAATCTGTATTTATTTTATTGGTTACTGTGATGGCTACAAGATGGCGATAGTGTTAAAATATGTTTATTTATAATTTCGATTAAATCGATTTATTATAAGAAAAATAATACCATTTATAATTGAATTTTGAAAAACGTGTGAAGTATAATTTATTCTAAAATTCCGCAACAGTGTTGCCACAACACCTGCTTATTTCCTTGGATGTAGGTGTGCCTGCCTCGCGTATGCTAATACGAGAGAAGGAGACAACTATGATATCGCATTGTAATAGAACGAGACAACAAGGCTAACGCCAATCGTGAGTCTAAATTAGTTCAGGCATGCTTCTGAGCCAATCATCTAGCTATAAATATTAGTTTAAATTGCGGTCGTTTCAATTTCAAATAATTTAAATGTTGCTGGGTATTCCACTATTTCACAATTCATGTAATCCAAATATTAAAAATTTATAGTAAATTATAGAAAGTAAAATATTTAAATTATACTTAATTTTTTAATTCTCTATGATGAGGCACTGCCTCACCTGCATCCTCTGACGGGCCGTCACTACATCTAGAGACCACCCTGTATATATATTTATCTAATTATTTAAACGTTTTATTATATTTTTAACAAAATCTACAAATCTGTTTCTATTCACCCCATTTGACGTTTAACTTTTCATTTCAAAATCTTTTTAAGTACGGTCCTGTGACATTTTCTGGAAACTGTGCGATCCCTTGACGCAGCTTTCTGTGGAAAACGACCCACCTATATTTGCGTCATTTATACAGCAAGATGTGCCTTAAACGTGGGTTTTTCTAACTCCTTATGAAAATGCTTCCCGCGCCCATATACATTTTCATTCATAAGTTTTATAGAAAAGCCTATTTTCTATGCTGGAAATACATGTAATTTTGCCATGCATATTTCTTTTGGTAATAAATATTTATAATTAACTAAGGCTTAGTTACTAAGCCGAAAAAAGTTTATGATGATAACAAACTAAGCAAGGCTAAGTTTACCATTTAAAAGAGCAAAAAAAATGTGTAATGTGATTAAAAAAAGTGGTCAATACTCAAAAAGATTCCCATTATTTTGTAAGCAATATTAAAGTCTATTCTTAAATTCCCTTCCAATATTTTGAAATGTTTGTCGTAAAATAGCTCGAAATTCTTGAAATAATAAGTTTTGTAGACCCCATAAGAAAACGTCCAATGATTTCAGATCTGGAGATATTGGTCCTTTTCTTCCGATTCAGTCCTAACAGCTACTACATAACGAGGTGGTGCCCCTTCTTGTTGAAAATGTAATACATTTTCATCCAAAGCTTGTTCATCATCCTCTTCACTTTAATTTTCTAGTTCATTTATTACAATAGTTTACAAAATAAAAAAAGAATCTGCTCACCATATCTCATAATAATTTTCCCATTTTAAAATAAATTTGATCATTCAAATTTTGGTCCATAAATAAGAGACTAACAATACAATCTCTCAATGTTCCTGCCCAGAGATGAAGTTTTCTGGATACTGGGTATTTTCTGATGAGATGAGGATTCTTGAAGCAAGTGTTTTTGTAGTAGTAGAGTCACTTCTCAACCCTTTGACCTAAATAACTACTTATTACAATATTTTAAATACAAAAAATCTGTTATCTTTCAGGCTTATCATAAATCCATTGAATTTATGAACTAATACAGTCTACTAGAGACCGAGGTCTTTTCAATGGCCTTCGTCAGTCTAAAAAATAAATTGTGTAGCTTAAAATCTTGTCGATATCGCGGAATCATTGAGTGTGAAGAAATGCTAGTGACAGATAAGCATTATGCAAGCGATTATAACCGAAAAAAAAAATAGCTGAGACGTCGAATAGCGTGGGTATGTATAATGGAAGGGTATGAGTCTGCGGGAGGCACCAGACTGTCGCGTCGTTGGGGAACTTTTCGTTAGGGAAGTGGGAGGTTGGAGGGCTCTCCATTTGCCCACATTTATCTCTTAACTTCTCTCTTCTAGCCCGGCAAAATCTATTTTTAGAATATTCACCTGATGCCGGCTAAGAGACATGTGGTAAACAATTTTTTTTAATTATTGAACAACAAAATACATTTGAGTTAGTTTAATGTATTAAGCAATTGAATCGGTGAGTTCAAAAACAAAACAAGTCCAAAACTTAAAATTTTGACAAATTATTTTATAAAATTATTTTTATAGTTTAAATTTAAAAAATGCATTTTTGTGAGAATGTTTTAACTATTGTACAAAATATGGATATTATATTTTATAATATACACTAGGGTGTTTCAAAAAAATCGACCTTTTATTTTTCTTCAAATGGTCGGCAAATTCTTTCAGAGGATGTCAACACAAAGACCTCGTCAAAATTTGAGCTTTTAATTTGAAGATTTAGAGGTCTCGGATCGCAATTTTCTATTTCCCATTTAAATAACATGGGAAATTTTTTTTTAACTTTGAAATTTTATACGTCTAAATCGAATCAACTTATCTGTGGGTAAAAGGCATAAGGGGATAAGTCAAAACAAGCAATTTTTCAGTGGAGCCTTAAACGTGTTCGCATTAATTTAGGAAATATATTTATGGTTAGTGGGTATACCCTTTTGGTAGAACATGTCATATGCTACCAAAAGGGTATACCCGCTAACCATAAATATATTTCCTGAATTAATGGGAACACGTTTAAGGCTCTGCTAAAAAATTGCTTTTTTTAACTTATCCCCTTATGCCTTTTACCCACAGTTATGTCAAGGATCATCTTAGATTTTCATAGTAAATTTAACGCTCTACTAAAAAGGTCTCCTAACATTTTTCTATAAATTGATTCCTTCCAGAGTTATTCGAGGCCAAAGTTTGATTTCCATCAAATTTTCGCGTTTTTTTAACATTTTTGGTACAATTATCATTATACGGGTGTCCCGAAATTAGGGGGCCAAACTTAAACAGTGCATTATTCGTATAAAAATAACACTTTTTTGTTTAATAAACATGTATCAAAAAATGCTCCCTAAAGGAGCTACGGCCCCCTGAATAGGAGCCTAAGAGGATAATTTTTTTAAAACTATTCCTAGAGGGTTGAACATAAACAAATGAATTTTCGGTACTTTGGTAATTTTGATATGCTGAATCTAGATCTATGATCAAAACTGTTAAAATTGAATCATAGGCGTAACATTTGGAGGGGGCAAAGTTACAAAAATAGCCCCAACTTTTTTCTGGGTTAATAATTTAATTTTTTTTATGAAATTATGAGAATTTATAGTTTTTTACGAAAAATAGGTACTCTTGATTTGAATTGCTCAGATGCACCATTTTCGAGAAAAATGCATTTATATATAAATTACTCTGCATATTATACACATCTCATATTTTCATTAAAACTTTGTAGTAGGCTTTGGAAAAAAGTGACGTTTTTTTTGTTTTTTTACAACACTTCCTATGTTTCAGATATAAATATGTGATTTTTTTACTACATGATGCTAAAAGTTAAAAAAACGAGAAAATTCGATGGAAATCAAACTTTGGCCTCGAATAACTCTGGAAGAAATCAATTTATAGAAAAATTATAAGAAACATTTTTTATAGAGCGTTAAATTTACTATAAAAATCTAAGATGTTCCTTGCCATAAGTTGATTCGATATAGACGTATAAAATTCCAAAGTTAAAAACAAAAATTTCCTATGTTATTTAAATGGGAAATAGAAAATTGCGATCCGCGACCTCTAAATCTTCAAATTAAAAGCTCAAATTTTAACGAGGTCTTTGTTTTGACATCCTCTGAAAGAATTTGCTGACCATTTGAAGAAAAAGAAAAAGTCGATTTTTTTGAAACACCCTAATATACACACATGATCAAAATTGTTGCATATTTTTGTATTTTAATTTTCGCTTTGTATAACGT